AAATAGAATTGAAAAGACTATATGCAATATTATATTCGCTGAAGATGATATTATAAAAAATAGAGGCGCCATTGCGCTTTTATTCCGACAGGTAGCACATCGCACACTTGCTTGAGTGGAGTGTAGTCGTGTTTTGCCCCTGTAAATCGTACTTTTTTGTTAGCAAGAAAGTCGTGCCAGTTATCTATCAAACTCCCATCAAGGGAAAATTTTTTAATTAAAATAACGTTATCATCGGTTTGCATCTGATGTTCTTGTATAGTTAACCTCAGAACCTTCTGACTTTAAGGTTTCCATATCTGGTTTGGTCTTTTATATATATAACTCCGTTGTCAAAATTAACTACAAATAGCCCGGAGAGTCAGTTGAAAGTGGAAGTTGATAGGTCTACAATTTACGTAAATTGCCCTTCAATAATTCTGCAAAACAATTTTTTTATTTCGTTATCATTATCTACTTATCGATAACTTAAAACAAACGGGATTAATTCAGGCGTGAAAAAAATTTTCAAACAAGATTGCCTGTGATTAATGGACATTCAGATAAAATCGCTTAATTCTTAATTAAGTTTTAAACTTAAGAAAAAAAATACAAATCTACTTTTACCGAGGAATACTCTTTAAAACAGTCAATTGTAACTAACATTTTTCCAATTGAAATAAATAATAAATTTAAATACAATATTTACATATCGATAACTTAAAACAAACGGGATTAATTCAGGCGTGAAAAAAATTTTCAAACAAGATTGCCTGTGATTAATGGACATTCAGATAAAATCGCTTAATTCTTAATTAAGTTTTAAACTTAAGAAAAAAAATACAAATCTACTTTTACCGAGGAATACTCTTTAAAACAGTCAATTGTAACTAACATTTTTCCAATTGAAATAAATAATAAATTTAAATACAATATTTACATAATAATGTATACTTTTTTCAAGGAGAAGCCTATTTGCTTGTATTGTTTTTCAATATTTAATATGCGATTTATATCATCAAAGAAAACAACTAATAACCGTAATAATTTAAAGACTGCCAAATTAAAAGATATTTTCACGCACATCTCGGTATTTGTGTATTAAAATTAAAATAAACGATACAAAGTTTAAGATTGTATAAATCCGTTACTCAAAATTCTGAATCCTTCGTTAACAGGAAAAATTAAAACAATTGTATAACAAAAAAATATGACATTCGTTTTATCCTTTTCTGTTTCAAGTTATTTAATTAAACAGGAGTTTTCATCAGAAAAGCATAAAAATTTCAACTTTATTAAAAAAGAGAGGTTAAAATAGACTTTAATATGCGAAATATAATTTTTTAGTCTATAATTATATAAAATTATCAATTTTTAATTTTTATTTAATTTGCTTTTACAATATACTACACGTCGGCAACAGCAGCTGAGGATTGACAGTAAAGAGAATAACAAATACAGTTGTAAAAGTAGTTAAAAGGAAGTTTTCATAAATATCATATAATCGTTTTATCATTAAAATATTTATAAAATACCTAAATTATAAAAATAATTCTCATTTAGCTTAATTAGATATTTAAAATTATATGAAATCCGATACAGATGAAATGGTTTAGTATATGCAGTAATTAACATAAGAAATAGAACTGCATAGTAACATGAAATAAAGTAAAAGTAAAAATATATTCCACAGTTTTTTTAACACGATTATTTGTATATTATGAGAAATAAACCGTTTACCTGCATATAGCACATAAATTAAATTAAAAAATGATACGAATAATTAAAATTTTTGTGATAAAAGCCGATGTTACAGTTTTGATAGGAAAAGGGTTAATTAAATAGCAAATAACAAAGGTAGAGTACATCCTGCTTAGATGTTTAATCTTTTAACTATTAATTAAAATATTTTACTTATAATACGTAGAATCTTCTACTTAATTGTCATTTATTTATAGTTATTAGTTAATAAACTCTAACTAAAAACGAATTTACGAAAAACACATACATTATGCTAATTTGTAACTTAATCTATTTTAAGTTAAATTGTCTCTTTCACATTACGTTAATTTTGAACAAAACACACTTTAAAATTTTAAAAAATAAATATTTACGAAAAATCATCTTTAAGCCAACTTCAAAACAGTTTGTTTTTTGCAATTCACAGGTGTTATTCTATTGTTTTCTGGACAACTGAAGCGAAAATTATGAATAATTAATGGGTTTTATGTCTTGTTTAATTTTATTTATTAGCTTGCAATTTAATAAAATTGTAGGCTTTATTTATAGGACTTTTTATATACTGTAGTTCCTGATTAGCAAATAGAAAATAACCTACTTTAAAGTAAAAACAAAATATCTTTATTTACACAGAAACAGAAACGACAACGGCATAATAAGTCCTGAAAATAAATCAGATTATTTAATGTGAAATATTCGAGAAAAAGTTAATTTAATAACGGTAAAAATATTCGATTGATTCCAATCTTTTCTAAAGAAAGAGGCATTAATTTTCGTTCAAACGAAGCAAACTTAATGTTCTGGTGTGTTAGGTGTCAATTTTCACCACAGGGAATGAAGGTTTTCGAAATGTAGGTGAAAATACATTTTCGAACATTTTGCTTTCAAAACTTAATATCACAGATCAGCTTGTCAATATATCGAATTTTATTTTAAAAAATTATTTATCGTAAAAAATGTTATTAAAAAATTGCTTTTACTTAAAAAGTGCATTTTTTCCGATTAAATAAATTTTGTTACTAAGCTGCAATTTGAAAAAATTGTAGATCTATAAATTACGCTGTCATCTGGCTGTATTTCATTAATCTAGACCAGTGTTTTTCAACCTTCTTGAATACTCGACCCCTTTACAAGTTAAAAAAATTCTGGCGACCCCCAAGGCCATATTAAAACTATATCAGTGATTTTAAAAACTACGTATTTAATTTTCTTTCCGTTGAGACCTAAATATCGATCGAAAAACCAATTGTACTTTAAAATAAAAGCGCAAAGCCTTCTCACTGAAATTGTAGTTTTATTTATTGTAGTGTAGGACCTAGAAACACTTGTTTTTTCCTTTTACCCGCGATCTCCCGTGTAAGGCTTTGCGACCCCCCTGGAATCGCGACCCACAAGTTGAAAAACACTGATCTAGACAAAGGAGTTAGATGAAAGTCGAGATTAGACCTGAAAAAATTTGGAGAGGCAGGTTTCAATTATCTATACAGTATCTTCGGACTCGAAACCGAAAGTTTCCTTATTTCAATTGTTCAAATTTTTAAATGAAAAAATTATAAAAATCGTGATAATATCACAATAAATAATTGCTCGTTTTCGCTCATAATTTAGTTGTTGAGTAAATTGTTTCCCAAATTTTCTGTTTCTTATTTCTCTTCTCCATTTTTCATATAATATAAGGTGCAACTCCAGGCGAAAAAACGTGCGAATGTAAAACGGATTTTTCTGTTTCCAAAATAATACAGGTGGTGTTAAAATTCCTAACTCGAAGGAACGTTGTCGTCTGCTTACAATATATTTTATTTCGGAGCACGCAGCTGATTGAATGAGCCTTGTACAGACTGAAATGAACTCGTTCAACAACTAGAACGTAAAAATGCGTTTAAGCTAAAACGACTGTTTTTCTTTTTTCTATGCTGTGGACGTCATGTGGTAATATATGGAGTATATTGTCGGATCGCATCTCAATATTTCAGTATTGAACGTTATGTTAAAAAATTTTTTAGCCGATTAAACTAATTTTTAAGGTGTTATATAAATGTTTGTTTGGAAAAAAAAGAAATCAGTCGAAAATCTAGATTTGTGTACAGTAGAATTAAATTTATGTTTTATTCTTTATTCGTAAATTTACATCAAAAATATTTTATAATATTTTTATGGGAAGTACACATTCTGCTTCCATATCTCCACTAAGAATTTTTAATAACGTTACGAAATTGTTTTTTATCTTTTCGATAATATTTGTTTCTATATTATTTAAAGCAGATTGAATATCTAATTTTAGAATGTTATCGATCAAATTACAATCCGTAAGTCCGTTACGGGTAACGATAAAAATACTACCAAGACATTCTTGTATTTTTGCTGTAACATTTCTTTGAACACCTTTTACCACATACACTACTCTAGCTAAACTTAGTGCTGCAAGACAGTTTGCCGCTTGCACTAAATTAGCCGTATTATTTTGGTAACAAACTTTCTTTAACAGGCACGACATATTTGTTACAATTGACAGCACGTTACTCCCGCCGTCTATTTCATTTTCACAGCCGAGGGAAGGGAAATTATTCGAATCCAGACACTGCGATAACCCAGCTGTTATATTCTGAAAATATCAAGAAAGACTAAAATTTAAAATGACAATCTTTGACTACTTTTTAAGATTTGTGCGTATAATTTATAGTAAATATTAAATATATGTTACAATAACATTTTACGAAACAATACGAATTTTACGAAACAATACAATAAAATTTTACGAAACAATACAAAACAATATTAGCTGTTAACAAAAAGCCTTAATAAAAATAATATTTGATTTTTTAAAACACATAATCATAATTAAAAACAAATTATGTCATTTATTAAGAAAGCATTTTCTAAATTAATGCAAAATAATAATTATGGTTTTAATTAGGGATAATTCCATAATTTAAGAATTATGGAATTAAGTTTCTTCATGCTTATGCACGAGTAACGTTACTTTCAGAAATATTTATCAGAATCTTGCCATACAAAAATGAATAATGAATATTCTAAAATTAAAGAAAAATTATGAATCCATAAGTTGCCTTTTTTACAAAGATACTTTAGATTATTGTAATAAATATGACTTTGTCGTCTTGAAACATAAAGTGATACGTGTCATAACTGTTTATATAGTATTTAGTAGATAAATGTCCTAGCTCTAAAAATAGCGAGAACATACCAAGTTTCTATAATAACACTAGTGCAAATTGAAACTAAATTAATATTAACTATGTTAATTAAAAGCTTTTACTTACAATAAGTGCTACTTTTACCTCTTCAGTTACTTGAGGGAATAAAGTTTCAAAATTAAGGTTTTCGTTCACAATATCCTTAATAAATGGATTTAACATATATATTCCGGGTTGCTTTGGAATTAAAGCTTAAAAATAAATTACAAATAAAAAATAAATATTATGAATGTTATGAAAAAATATTTAAAAAGAACAAATTTTACTAAACTAAAAACAAGGAAATAAATAAATAAGTACTTAAAATGAAAAACGGCAGCAAAAACTTCATCATGATTCCAACTTGCAACTGAAAAGCAAAAGAGAATGCGTAGTTTGAGACTTCAATTAGCAATGACGAATTATCTTCTATGACACTAATTTATATATTTTAATATGTACAAGTAGTAATTTGACGTCACATGGATGTACAGCGCGATATTTGCACCTGTTTCGGTTGTAAATTCTACACCCGTTTTTTACAAAATATTTTTAAAGTTAAATAAAATTATGAATTTCGTATTTAAATTTTGATTAGATTTAAAGTGTTTTCTGAAGTAAACAGTTTTTCAAAATTTTTGGTAAAAGAAGAAATTATTTTTTGTAAATTTATTACGCAATTTTTTATCGTATTTTTAATTTATTTAATTTAAAATACGTTTTTTTACCACAAATTAGTAGTGGTTTTTTTCTGTATATCATATTTTCACTCTAGCAATTGTCATGTCGTTTTCTATTTATTTCCTTACAGAGGGAAAATGTTTGAGTTAAAGAATAAGTACAGTCACTTCAGTTTTGTATGGTATGTTCCTAAATAGTTAATTAACATCGAAAATCTCCTGTGTTTGGTATAGATTTTCATAGAACTTCGTTCTCGAGATTAATTAAGAAAAAACAGACAAAGAAAAAATTTATAGGTTTACAATGTTTTTAAATTGCAGCTCAATAATTCTGCAAGATAATTTCATACCGTTATCATTCAAATTCAAGAGAACTTGCCAAACAACATCGTCCGGGATTAAATTAATCGACATTCAGATAAACTCACTTAATTTTTACTTAAATTACAAACTTAGGAATAAAACATATCTGCTTTTACCGAGAAATATATTTAAAACAGTCAATCGTAACTAACTTTTTTCCAATTGGAATAAATAATGAATTTAAATACAATATTTACATAATAATGAATACTTTTTCTCAAGGAGACTCAGCTTATTCGCTTCTATTGCTTTTTCATATTTAATATGTGATATACGTCATCAACGAAAACAACTAATAACAGTAATAATATAGAAACTGTCTAATTAAAAAATGTTTTCACGTACATTTCGGTATTTGTGTATTAAAATTAAAATAAACGATACAAAGCCTAAGTTTGTATCAATTCCATTCTCTAAATTTTGAGCCCTTCGTTTACACAAAAAGTAAACAGTATTGAAAGGCAAAAGAATAAAGCATTCGTTTTATCCTTTTCTGTTTTAGGTTATTTATACAGGATTTTTCATGGAAAAAGCATAAAAATTTCAACCCTTTATAAAGAAGAAGGTAAAAATAGACTTTAATAAGCGAAATATAATTTTCGAGTCTATTATTTTATAAAATTATCCATTTTTAATTTATATTTGAGCTGCCTTTACAATAAACTAGACGTCAGCAATAGCAGCTGACATTTGTCAGTAAACAAAAGAAAATAACAAATGCAGTTCTAAAACTGCATTTGTTATTTTCTTTTTTATTCTCTAATTTTTGTCATTCTTTTAATAACAAAAATTTTTTTTCTTATTTCTTTAGTTTTGTTTTTTTAGGAGGTCGACGGTGGACCCAGCGCGGTACTGCGTCACTTCGAAAGACGATCTTCTAGACTTTCAAAGACGTTTAGGAAGACAGATAAAGTTATCTCCTCACTCTCGGGGATTATTCATCTCCACCTTCGTTACGATTTACAAATAACCAACCAGTTAACAATAACCTCAACTTGTTACAAGATAGAGCAGGAGTATCCAACCCGCGGCCCAAGGCAAGTTTCAATGCGGCCCAATAAACTTTTAATCAAAACCGACAGAATGTTTCAATTTTTTTATTATTTATCTATTTCAACGGCACAAACTCAAAAAAAAAGTTTCACAAAGCCGTAAACCTTCATTCATATTTTATTTTTGAGTGGAAAGGAAATATTTTCTAATACTTGGACATGTGTGAATGAGGAAGGATTATTAAATAAAGCTGGAGTTGTGACTCAAAGGATTATAGAACCAAATTTGGAAAAAAGAGAGAAAGATAAGAAAGGACAAAAGATGTAGTAGTGAGAAAGATTAAATAGATCTGTTATGCAAATATAGACCCTTAATTTTCCAACCTTCCTCACTACTTTTTTATCTTTTGTTCTTTCTCTCCTTTCCCCGCACTTGGGTCTATATTCCTTTGATTCACAACTACAGCTTTATTTAGTATTTTATTCAACGTTGCAAGATTTGGCTACATTGCGCCAAATGTGGCTACTTTTTTTTGTTTGTCGTAAAAAATGAAAAATATCATTTGGCGCTTTGACTACTTTTTCGGCTACATATTATTTATAATTATTTTAATGTAATAAAAATACACTTTAAAATGTTGTTTCGTCGCTTTTTATTAATTTGAGACCCAAATTTCCGTTTGTCTTTTATAATAAATGAATTTATCCATTTCTAAGTAGAAATTAAAAGTGTCTTTAGAAGTAATTTTTAAAATATCCTTTTTCTTGATAAAGTTTTAATACTTATTATTATAATCTAGACATGTTAGTTTTTAAATATATTTGTATATTGGGCCACAAGTATATATTATATGTACAGTATTTGTGGCCCAAAACTCCTTGACTTCTTTCAATACGGCCTAGAAAAACAAAAAAGTCGGACACCCCTGTGATAAAGGATAACGAAAAAGGTCACTGACAAGGGTAGACCGAACTGAACAAACTTCCCTCTATTACGTTCGATGTGAACGATGAGAAAACAGATGAAGATGGCCATAAAAGGCAACAACCATTACTAAGGTGCAAGACTAATTCTGACCTTAGTCATCTCTAGCAATTAATTCCGTTACTTTGACAACTGTTATCAAATTCATGAGAGAGAAGAAGTGACAATACCAGATAGAGGAAGTAATAAATCTACGGAAAGAATCAGATGTTTGACAACTAACATAAATAATTCCGGAAGAGTCAAAATTACATGGATTTGTATGAGAATGTTCCTCGATTCCCCCCCTCCGGAGTGAGTACAATCCTCCCCCTCCGCTGGGACACAGTCCTCCGGGCGGACGTTCACAGTTGATAGCATCCGGAGACATCTACCAGAGCACTACCGCCACTCTGTCTGATGCCACCTGCCATACCTGCCGGCTCTATCCCAAGATAACCAGATGACTACCTCCCAGGTCCACGATAGTCCTCCAGACGACGTCGTATACCAGAGTTAGAGGTTTTTCTAACAAATTTTGACTTTCTCGCTCTCCCAGATGTCCCTCTTAGAGAGATTTCGCTCGTCTGTTACAAGTTAGTTTAAGTTCAAGAATAGAACGTAGATGTTCTATTGGAAAGAATAATCATTGTCGCGAGCTAGAATAGAATTTCAGATTATTTCGATTTGTTCCGTTTTTGCTTTTGCCTTCGATATGAATAATTTTATAGTTGTTTAATAAATGTGTTATTTTCGTAGTTATCTGTGTACTTATTCGGATTGTCGACGTACTCATTGACCTCCCCAATCACATTTTTAGCCCATTTAAAGCCATCCTCTGACACAGTTTCCGGTAAGCGGGGTTACTTTGCCCCCTCGGTCCTCGCAATAGGAAATAGAACTGCACAGTAAATAGTTACATGAAATAAACAAATAAAATTATAAAAGACAAATTACAACTAAACTATACTACAGTTTTTCAACACGATTACTTGTATGTTAAAAGAAATAAACAGTTTACTTGCATATAACACATAGGCCTAAATTGAATTAAAAATAATACGAATAAATAAAATTTATGTGATAAAAGCCGATGATGCAGATTTGACTGGAAAAAGGTTAAATAACAAATAACAAAGACAGATTTCATCCTTTTTGACTGTTCAACCTTTTAACAATGAATTAGCATGTTTTACTTATAATAAGTAGAATCTTCTACTTAATTGTGATTTATTAGGTTGACATTTATTAAAATTGTAGGCTTGTTGCTAAAATTGTAACCTATAATAAGTAAGGACAAAATATCTTTATTTATACAGAAATAGAAAAGACAGCAGAATAATACGTCCTGATAATAAACCAGATTATTTAATGTGAAATTTTCGAGAAAAAGTTATTTTATTAAACGTAAAAATATCCGATTAATTCCGATCTTTTCTAAACGAAAAAGCATTAATTTTCGTTCAAACGAAAACAAACTTAATTTTCTGGTGTGTTTAGGTGTTAATTTTCACCTTTCCTGCTTAACCACAGTTAATGAAGGTTTTGGAGATCAACGTCAAAATACATTTTCGAAGATTTCACTTTGAAAAGTGAGATTTTATTAATTAGAGAATTTATACCTCACTTCGTTAACATTTAAGCTGGTTATAATCTATTTATTTATTAAACTTTCAGTTTTCGTTAACAGAAATAACTACTATAGGTACCGTTACAGTGGCAATGGCATCGAGGGTGGGTGGTTAAGACTATACGTAGTTATAGACCCTGTTAAAACGAGTGTAATAAATAAAATAGAAATAAATATATCACAATGAATTATTTCACTGATAAGAGCTTCATCATATAATCGAGATGGGTTAATGATAATAACAATAATAATATGCCCAGAGTCCAATCGGTTAGGAGTGGAACGTTGAAATTTGAAACATTGTTAATGAGCATTCTCACAACGTACCCTAACAAAGAATTTTCGAAATTCTCCACGTCGAGGAGAGGGAAAGAGTGAAGGATTATTGTATATTACAGGGGTGGCCAAGCTTCTTCACAGTCCGAGCCATTTTTCAAAATTTGAAATTTTTCGCGAGCCGCAATTAAATACGTATTAAAAAGGTATGCAAAAAACTCCAGAGTTATATCCGTAGCAACAGTGATACAAATTGTTTCTTCCAGAGCACAATGTCAGCTGTCTATTGCAATGACAGTTTACAAATTCAAAATCGGTCTGGAGTCGGTCGATAATGGACGATTTCGCCACTGTTTATGTTCGTTGGCGCAGTTTTCCATGAGTCATATCATTCTTAACTTGGACGGAAATGAAATTTGTTAGAACGTTGCACTTAATCTTACATATTTGTTGTTAGTAATTTAGAAGACATTTTCAAAACCCATACGGAA